ACCTGGTGCTAAGATCCCTGTCAAATCCGGGGCGGCCAGTGCCATGTATGGTGGATGCCCACTCCTGCTTAGGGCCATCTTGGGTGCTGGCTTTGCTGGGCCGCCTGGGCAGTCACACTTGGGGGAGGGCGCAGGTGCACGCAGGTGCAGCACGCCTGCCCACTTTCTCCAACATTAGCCCTGGGCTACCTGAGATATCGCTCTAGGGGGTTTGCTGTCGCCGTCCGTCATTGGCCGTCATGGGGACAGAGCTGGTCGATTCGCAGGGGTATATTGCGGTAGCCAAGCTATGACGATAGCGGAGTGTCACATGCCATTCTCATTTCTAATGAGCGCCTCCACTGTGGCCTGGGTCTGGCCTCGTCTGGTCTGGTCTGCCTGGCGAAGGAAGGAAGCTTCGACGCCATTGCCAATGCCGCGCAGGACCAACTCGCCAGCACACCAGGAACACCACCGGAACGCCTGGCGAGGCCGTGTTTCCTCTCCCATCATCATCATCCTGATTAGCAACAGCAGCATCGGCATCGGCACCAGGCCTCAGCCTCCCTTTTTTTCTCCGCATTGCCCTGAGGCTAAAGCCGAAGCTGTGGAGCTCACGGCTACTCGGACACGGTCGCGACCCTTGATTTCTGTGTACTACCGCAGGAAACAGAAGCCGGAGAGACAGAGAAAGCCAACATCTCGTCCCCTGGCCATCCCCCTCTTGTCCTGGCGGGCTTTGCCTTCGACGTTTCGTCTGATGTATGGTGGCCAGGACAGCCCTCCACAGCACATCGTTGTCGTTCCCATCCCATCGTCAGAAGCACAAGACATTTAGATCATCAGAAGCACACGTTGCCTCGGCCTGCGTCCAGCGATTTCCTCTTCAGGACGGGTGACACCAGCCTCTACAGTGTGCCTGTTCAGGGGTGGCATCAAGCCATAAGCGAAATCACAAACACACCGGCGCCTGGGGGATCGCCCTCTGATCCTGGATCCCATCCTGCCGATGCCAGTTATCGTTGTTGGCTTGAGAGCCCTGTCTAGTCCGCTCAGAACTCACTCTGAATCGGAACGTTTCGGTGCCTTTCCTCGCAATCACAAGCACAAGCTTCGCCCTTTCCCCATCTTTTGATCGACCCCACGAGCGGGACAGGCCTGGCACTAGCACGACGACTCCACGACTGCGCAGACGGCTTGATAGCACCAGAACCTCGGCCGTTGTGATTTTGGCATATGTCAACAACGCTCTCTATTAGTATCACATTTGACCACCTGTTTCCCCCTTCTACGCCTTCAGTTGGTCTCCTGCTTTGGGGCTGCCGCATCAAACTCTCTCTTCAGCCTCCTTCGTTTTGGATTCCTGTTTCTGGACGAGCCTGTTCCTGGGCGAGTGGTTACTCGGGACCTGCGCATCCATGTCCATCGCTCAGATCTTTTACCTCAATGCGACTCTCATCCCTCGATCCGACCCAATACAATTGAGTTTGGTCCAACCCTAACCATCCTTACAAGCACAGCACACACACTTTCAATCAACCCCCTGGTAAGAGCGGCCCGTCGCCAACCCTCCCCTACCTTGGTACTTTGTCTTTACTCTCCTTGAATCGCGTAGGATCTTGCCTATCCCCCTCCCCCAGTGGCCCCAACACGAGGTGCTCGTGCTCTTGGGGCCCATCTGTCTCGTCGGCCGAGCCTCTTCAAGTGAAGCCATAGAACGCTATGCTCCCCGCGGACGCCCGAAAGAAATTGTCATAGCCTAATCTGGACCGCATCCTGCATCCCGCATAAAGTCGTTCTCGCAGTTAGCAAGCAGCCCATGACTAGACACGAAGATCATGTGCCTTACTCTCACCTACCTGCGTCTTTCATGCACACCGTGGGCCCACGGCGCAAGGCGTGAGGCGCGAGGCACACGACACCCGGCATAGCGCGCGTCCCCTTATTGTCTGTCCCCTTTCTGTACCCAATGGCTTGTTGGCGTTGCATCGGCTAGCCCACTGTCCCTCAGCACTTACATCATAGCCTCGATGTCCTGCCATCTAACCACCGTTAGCTGCAGCACATGCTGATCTTCCCTTGGCCCAGGCACGCGAATACTCCCGAACCCCCAACGCCGTTTTTCAGTCCCCCCGGTCGCGGTCACGGCCACAGCCACGGCCATCCGTGAGGCTACGGTCATCGCTTCCTTCCGCCCGCCATGCAACCTCGGAGTCAGCTGCTGAGCTCCCGAAGAGGGCCCCTCGACATCATTCCCGGCACCCCGCCTCTCCTGAGACCTCTGGTGCGCGCATACCTGTTGGGATATGCATCCTCCGTGGCGCCTAGACTATTGACTCTCCTGCTCCAACATGTCTCCAGGGCTGTCAGGAAGCGAAGCGGCGCATCTGCGGGGCGCGCAAAAGGAGCATGAATCCTTCCTGTCCTCGCTGAATCATACCATCTTGACTGGCTTCGAACTTCGCAGGTTCCCCGCCTTCTGCGCCCTGCTCGCTGGCGGCAGCACATTACTCGAGGTCAGTGGAGTTCGGCTCTGGCTTGGCTTGCCTTCTTCCATCCTTCCACGTCTTCTATCACTTCCCCAAAACTGACACCTGGTCTTTTCCCAGGACCATTCCGGCTTGTTTCTTGCATCGGTGTTGCACGGGGTCTCAGTGAGGTGACACGGGACGCGGTACGTCTGACATGCTTCGGCGCACTCTTGGGACAAACTAGTCTCACCCGTGCGCTGCAATGTCGCATCATTGTGTAGTCGCTATGATTTCTCTCAGCTTGTCGAGATGTGTCGACATTGTGCAGCTGCTCCTCCGGCTGGTGCAGTCACGCATATGTTCAAAATTCACCAAAACGGTCCCCACCAGAACCAATGTCCACCCGGGCGTCAAGGAGGAGAAGGTGGCCATGGCCGGTCGCACTCTTGACATGACGCTCTTTGCCTTTACACGTGCAGTAGATGTCCTTGTTGGCGAGTTGTGGTCTCGTCGCCGAGCTCGCCGCGTAGCGAACCAGAAATGGACCAAGGCAGGTTCCACATCGATCCTCGGTCACCGATTCACATCACTAACAAGATGCTAGCTCGAGAGCCTCGTTGGCTATTCCACTGATCCCTGGATCTTTGTGTGCTCCTGCGCCCTCATCATGTGGGCATGGTTTTACAACCCCTCGGGTCTGCCCAAGGCCTATCAAAGGTGGATCAGCTCCGCCGCTGCCGTCGACAACCGCCTCATCGAAGCCCTGCGGCGCTGCCGATCCGGCGATCTCCGCTACGGCAAGGACACCGGCCAGGCTCCGCTTCTGCAGTCCATGTGTGAGGACTACAAGTGGCCTGTCATCTGGGGCGATCCTGCCAAGACGGCGCCTTTCCCCTGCGAGATGGTTCACATGGGCTGCGGCCCGTCGTGCGAGTACCACGCTCTGTCTCGCCTCGTCCGCTCATGGCGCTGGAGCATGGCCATGTACCTTCCCCTCAACCTCGCCATGCAACTTCGCAAGCCTCCGACCGTCCGGGGCATCCGCACTGCCGTGCTGTCCGCGTCTCGCTCCTCCGCCTTCCTGGGCGTGTTCATCATGCTCTTTTATTACGGCGTCTGCCTCGGCCGGACGCGCATCGGCCCACACATTGTCGGTAAAGACTTTGCTGGACGACAGAAGATCGATGGCGGCGTGTGCGTAGGCTGCGGCTGTTTCATGTGCGGGTGGAGTGTGCTGCTCGAGACAGCAAGTCGACGGAAAGATATGGCCTTGTTTGTGGCACCGAGGGCGCTGGCGACTCTATTCCCGCGAAGGTATGCTGAGGACAAGCAGTGGAGGGAGACGCTTACCTTTGCAGCAAGCGCCGCCGTCGTGTTCACTTGTGCCAAGGAGAACCCAGCCAGGGTAAGGGGTGTGTTTGGCAAACTATTGGGCTCCGTTCTGCGAGTGTAAGCACGTGTACGTTATGACGATAGACCCTGGGTGAATATGGGGCACAGCAGCATGCATTGCGCGATTGGATAGAATTGTAGCCATCATGTCGAAACATACACGAATCCCTAAGGAAATGCGAAGGCAGATTCCCGGTATACTGGCTTTGTTTGGCGTCATGGAGGTCATTCGGAGCTTTGTTTTATACGAAAGGCTTCTTCCATTGGAGCCGACTTAATTACATTCTAGAGCACGGCTGACCGTTCAACCTTGCTCGCTATTGTTATCGAACTAGCTCTATTCTCCTCCCGCTCCCCACAGCCCAATGCGTGCTGACAGTCACCAACATAACCATCAGATCTTAACGACTCGTCTAATAGCGCCTTCGAGACCCTTTCCACCCCCGTCGATGTCAAAACCCATGCACACTACGCCGAATGGCACCTTCACGGCTCCTGCGCTCCTCTCCTCTACCCACCTGTCAATCACTCCGTCGCCCCTTGCAGGTTCCACCCTTCATCCTGGCTTCCGAGCGACGGCGCAGCGTAGACAACCTTGCGCACAAACGTGCCGTACTTCATCGTCGCGTCGAGGAGGGCAAGCGCCTCGTTCGTCTCAGGCTCGCCGTTCTCGTCGACGGGGGCCGGGTGGAAGATCGACGTCACGTTGTTGAGAGCTGTGCGGTAGGAGTCTGGGGTCGTGATGGGCGTGATGGTGAGTTTTCCGCACGCTGCGGCCTCGGCGAAGGAGGTGGTGTGGGTGGGAAGAGGGGAGGTCAGGGCGCACGCGGGTGCCTGAGGAGAGGGCGCTGGCTATGATGTCCTCGACGAGGGGGGAGGAGGACGGGGAGGAGGAAATGAGGAGCGTCGGCTGGGTTGGGGAGGTCATCTTGTCGTGTATGAGGCAAGGAGCGAGGGCGACAGGTGCGACGTGATCAATCTGCGAAAAGGGGAGGGAAGGAATGTCGTCTTTAGAATACCAGCAGACGTTGCTCGACACGACAAGATCGATTCAGGTCTCGTCCTTTATACCTATCCCATCTCAACAGCTCGCCTGAGGTACCACACACAACGAAACCCCCGCCCGCGCAACAGCCTTCTGTTTTCCCCTCTTCGCGTAGAACTCACGATGCAAATCCGCCCTCCCCCGCGAACGGCACCGCGCATCCCATCCCTTTCGGCCCCTTGGCGCCCACGCGAACGGAACCGGCGAACGTCGATCTTGGCTCGCCCCGCCGGCGGGGGGGGCGCATCCCACGCGCGGGGGAGGCGTCCCAGGCCGCGCAAGCCGGAGACAAGGCTGTCTCACTCGGGATCGGCGGCTTATCAGGATGCAGACGGGTGCCGCGAGGGGAACTTTAATTTCGGTCGATCACGAAGCGCCTGGACACAAGGAAATGGTCACCGATCTTTTTTCCTCTTTTCGTGATCATGTTTGTCATCGACACGGCGCGAGTACACCACAGCAATATTGCCAAATGGTGATTCTGCAATGCGATTTAGGGTTCCGTCGTGTTGAGGGCGACGATGGAGCTGTGGAACTCGCCTCGTGTGGCGAGGCGACGATCATCCTGTGGCGGGCTGATAGGCAAGCCAATGCCGCCTAAAAGATGAGGAGCTCGAGAAAATTCGATGGTGCGGTCTTGAGTCCCTGCATTGCTCATTGCGATTTTCCCGGCCACGGCCTTGGAGTATTCGCGCGCCAGGCTCCAAGAGATGTTGATCAAGCCATTTTTAAATCTGCCTTGTCGCCCCCATTCCAGGCGCACGCACGTTAAAGCGGCTCGCCATGGTGGGATGTGTTCATTCGAATTCGTGAACTGGAGATATCTCCTACAACAGCTACACTTCTTACTGATGTAGCAAGTCTCTGTGGGCTGCTTTGGTATGTCATACGGGAAAGATGGTAGTCTATCGCTGGAAATGGCTGGTAGACACAAGAACCCACGACAACCTCAGACTCTGTTGACCCAACGAACAAGTATACATACGCTAAGCAAGAGAATTAAATACCTTCAAGAATACAATCGTTGATCTAGTACAGCTGTAGATTTACGTAGATTGTCTTCCACGCCTCTCATAGCCAACGGCAACCCCGCAAACCTGTCTCGATGATGATCACGAATTCATCCAGCCTTCAGTCACATTTAAGAATTTGCTCTATCATGGGTATCTGTATCAAATGAGAACCGCGATTTGACACATATACTCAAGATGTTCGGTGGCGTTAGAGATATCTGTGGGATCACGTCCCTGATGTGTGCCAATGGTGACTAAACTGGCCTATGGCCTGTCACGTGCATCGTCCTACAGCATGGAGGAAGAAACCAACCGACCGTCTCCTTCCTTTCCCCGAAGCACGTGAACATGTGTTTTTACAAAGTACACGACAAGGGTGGACTACGCAACACATACATTTTGTGAGGACTCGTACTACAACATGGCGTCCAGCGTCAAAATGGTGGGGCACATGGGGTCGAGGACTCCAAGGGAATTCACAGAATATCATGATAAGGACCTCACTTGACCAGCTGTGGTTGCTTGGGATTTACGAAGACACCCAGATCCTGCAGCAGAGGGCGACACCCCGGCTGAAAGACAGGCAACATGTGACAGCAGCGAGTAACCGCACGGGACAAGGAGCCCTCGCCAAAATCATATCCCGGCGCACCTGAAGCCCGGAAAAACCAAAGCACGACGGCGACATGGCGACATGACGGACACGCGTCTCAGGACGAATCACCACATGCAAAAGAGCGGACAAGACATAATCCGAACACCCTGCGCCCACGGAATATGGCCGCCTGCCTTCAACCCCCTCCCCCCAACTGCGCCACAGCAGACGTCAAGACGAGATTCGCTCGAAACTGCAAAGGAGCAGGCGCCGTTGCCGTGCCCGAAGGCCGTTCATGACATAATGGAACCCAGGGTACAAAAGTTACGTGCGGTTGACGTCGGGTCCAGCGTCGGGCGTCAACACGTAAGAGGGGTCTTCCGGGTGTTCCCGGAGGTGGGACGGCGCAACGGGAGCAGGGGGCGCCTTATTCGAGGGAGAGTAGGAGCGAGGCCCTGAAGGGGGGAGTACAGGACTCGGCAAAGCACGGAGCAGGCAGCAGACAGGGCCCGAGGGAGCGAGGCCGGAAACGAAAAAGCAGGAATGAGGAAACGGCAGTAGGGAGGCGGGGGCAGAACTCGGGACTGGCAGTAGATATAGGCGAGGCTAGGAGGGTGTGGCAGCCGAGGCGCCCGTGATGCTCCGGGGCGGACGGGCAGACTCCACTCGGACGACAGCCTCGAGGTCCCAGAGACGAGAGGACGGGTCGGCATGACGGCATGCAGGTATGCTCGTGGCAGGTCCAGCCTTGTGGATGTCATGAGGTTGGACAGTCGGACAGGCCCGGGGTAAGGTGTGTTGGGGTCCTTAGAGGGGTTTGGTTCGTTCGGGTCATGGTAATCTGGGGATCCCGAAGATTCCCATCGTGTGCCTTAGCCGATGTGGGGTGCTGCCGTTCGTCCTCGGCAGAAGAGGAGCAGGGAGCGAGGGGCAGCAGGCAGGGATCGGAATCCGACTCGGAACCGGGTTCGAGAGGCTGAGCCGTGGCAGACCGAGCTAGGAAAGCAAGGGTGTGCTTTTCTCGCGACGAAATGGCGATGGCGGCGATGGCAGCATATGGTGGAGAGGCATCGAATGACTGAGGTTGTTGAGTTGGTGTTGAGGGATCAGAAACAGATCCATCGAAGCATCGTCATGCCGCTGGCGAGAAAGAGCAGGCGAACTGGCGAGGGTGGTGGTGGCTGAAAGGAGGGAGTGAACAGAGAGAGCTCTCAGCAAGTGTGGCTGGTGGACGAGACAGATGGCTTACCTAAACACAGCCCGGATGGAGCCCTGCACCTGTCTTGGCGTCGTGATGTCAGGAGGGGGAGGGGGAGGGGCAACCAGCAGATGCAGAACAAAATGCCCCTCCGTCATCTTGGGCGCGTCACATCCGAGTCACTCTTTGGAGGGAGGAGGGGCTCTTTCTCGTCGATATCGCCCCAATGTTTCTGGATGGTTCTACTGCACATCTGTGTGCTAGTTATCGCCTGACCTTCCATTGCCTTTGCTACCTGGCTGTCCTGCACTTGCACTGCCTGCCAATTGCACGTTGGCACTGCTCGTTGCTTCTTTCGCTCCAATCCGGTGAGCCCGTCGAGACACCCACCCCTACCGCGCCCCCCCCCGTACCCCGAAAGAGGATCGCGGGACAGAGCGGTGTCGCCGGCGGCTCATCTTGTTGAGGTATTATCATCATCAGTATCAAAAAGCTGACTGCCAGACGGACGCGAAGCAAATAATTACAGATCAGCGTTAGTCAGGTGCACAGTCAGAGGGGGGGGCGGGGGGCGATTTTCTGGTGACACATCGCTGCGACAACGGAGGCAGATCAAATCATATTCTTTTTTTATTTTATTTTGCTTGGTCATGATCAGTATCAGACCAAGGCGACAGGCTGAGCGCGAGATATTGGCTCGTGGTAACGGCCCGACAACGCCTCGACATCCAATACATGATCCCGGCCACGGACCGCAAAAGAGGCAGAAAACGCGCAGCTCCAAAACCACCCCAAACGAAAGGAGAGTGGGAGGGATTGAGGAGGGGTCGCCGTGGCTCGTGGGGCCCGTTTCCCTTGGCCGGGAGTTGCGGGATGGTGAGCGATGCTCCTTGTTTGGCCCTGTTTGGCCCTCGAAACGCAGCTATGAAAAGCTCCATTTTTGGGATATTTGCCTCTGTGCCCTGTCTATCTTGGAGGGGCAGGGGCGCGAGCGGCGAGTCGAAAGAATAGCTCGACGGATGCTCATCACCCAGTCAGGGTGGGCGAGACGCCAATGAGGTGTCTGAGAATCGGAGGAGCACAGGACAAAGCTTGAAGCGAATCAGACGGAACCCCCACCACCTTTTTCTCTCAACCAAAATAATATCGCGCGACCCAGACAGACCCAGACCCAGACCCAGACAGGCTTCCTCAGACCGGACCACGCTCCCTGCGCGTGCGAGCGCGAGCATGCGTGAGTGAGTGAGCTTGGGGAGGTGGTACCGTGTACATGTGTCGGCCCCCTGCTCCTGACCCCACCAGAGGTACCTCGTTCCATCGGAGGGTACTCCAGCCCACCACAGATACCAGACGCATCAAGCAGTCCCCTCCTACCTACCTCTAGGAGGTACCTACCTAGGAGGACCTAGGAGGAGGTAGCTAGACAGACACATCCAAGCACTACACCAAGCACCAAGCACCAAGCCACAGCTGGTTGGGTCCTTCTCCCCCCCTCCCCTCCCCCCTCCGTCATCCATCACCCAGCGCGCGCCAGGCCCGACCCAGAGGGCCATTGGGATCCATCCCCAAAGCTCATATACCTCCCCTCGCCAACCGCCTCAAAGTTTTTTTCCCTCCCTCCTCTCCCTCTTCTTCTTCTCTTCCTTCTAGCATCATCACGATACCATCTTCCAAGGTCAGTCCCAGCTCCCCCCTCATGAGCTTCCTGAGCTTCCCTGCAAAGCTCCTTCCTATCAACCTATTCCACTGCCACTGTCCTGTCCCCCCTCCTCCTCCTCCTCGGCGGCCTACGCCTCAGCTCCTGCTTGGGGCGCTCAGGATTACCCCGCCATCATCAGACCATCGTCAGGAAACTTTCTCATCATCATTATGATCCCCCGCCTACCCTTCCACCTCGACTCGAACCCAGCACCCATCCTTTGTTCCGTATCAGAAAACATAAACTGACCACTTCTTTTCTTATCAACAGACCTAAACTTCTTCACATACCACCTACATCATACACAATGGCTCCCATCAAGGTTGGCATCAACGGTTTCGGCCGTATCGGTCGCATTGTCTTCCGCAACGCCGTCGAGCACTCCGATGTCGAGATCGTTGCCGTCAACGACCCCTTCATTGAGACCAAGTACGCTGTAAGTATCCTCCCAGACCCAAGGATTCATGCCCCCTTTGTTCATCGATTATCATGTGCTGGGGTTTTTTTACTTGGTTATGGTTTGATCATGTCTCAACCCCGCAACCCTCTGCAGCCAAGATGAGCCCCTCCACAACAACAAGACGGCGTTCCTTGAGCCTCAAACGCGCACACGAGTCATATGGCTAACCTCCCCCCAGGCCTACATGCTCAAGTACGACTCCACCCACGGCGTCTTCAAGGGCGAGATCACCGAGGACGGTTCCTCCCTGACCGTCAACGGCAAGAAGGTCAAGTTCTACCAGGAGCGTGACCCCGCTGCCATCCCCTGGAGCGAGACCGGCGCCGACTACGTCGTCGAGTCCACCGGTGTCTTCACCACCACCGACAAGGCCGCCGCCCATCTCAAGGGTGGCGCCAAGAAGGTCATCATCTCCGCCCCCTCGGCTGATGCCCCCATGTACGTGATGGGTGTCAACGAGAAGACCTACGACGGCAAGGCCGACGTCATCTCCAACGCCTCGTGCACCACCAACTGCCTGGCTCCCCTCGCCAAGGTCATCAACGACAAGTTCACCATCGTTGAGGGTCTCATGACCACCGTCCACTCCTACACCGCCACCCAGAAGACCGTTGACGGTCCCTCCGCCAAGGACTGGCGTGGTGGCCGTACCGCTGCTCAGAACATCATCCCCTCGAGCACCGGTGCCGCCAAGGCTGTCGGCAAGGTCATCCCTGAGCTCAACGGCAAGCTCACCGGCATGTCCATGCGTGTCCCCACTGCCAACGTCTCCGTTGTTGACCTGACGGTCCGCATCGAGAAGGCCGCCAGCTACGACACCATCAAGGCCGCCATCAAGGAGGCCGCTGCTGGTGACCTCAAGGGCATTCTGGCCTACACCGAGGACGACGTTGTCTCCACCGACATGATTGGCAACGAGAACTCCTCCATCTTCGACGCCAAGGCCGGTATCTCCCTCAACGACAACTTTGTCAAGCTCGTCTCCTGGTACGACAACGAGTGGGGCTACTCCCGCCGTGTCCTCGACCTCCTGGCCTACATTGCCAAGGTCGATGCCGGCAAATAAATGCAGCTAGCACCTGCAAACCGTCATACCCTCCTGACATGACGGCCGGGGTTTTGTGGTGTCCAGATGTTTGAGAAGAAGGGGCCTCAACGTCGGCGCCTGTAATGAAGAAAGAAGAAAAACAGACATGACCTGACACGAACTTGGAACGCGAAGGACCACGGAAAGGTGGCCAACAGCCGCGTGCTATAGTCGAATGAACCTGCCATAGACCAACAGGCCGATTACTCCTACATGATGCTTCATCCGTGCTGCCTCGTGGTGCGTGACGTGTGATGCGAGCTGCTCCAACATTTGTGTAGGTTGGTTGGGTTCGTCTCGAGTCTGGTGTGAGACGGCATAGTTTACGTCGGGCGTTTCAATGAATAAAAATGTCAAGGCTTCGTCATCCTGCAATTCCAACAACACCTACGTACTCTACCAGGCCGTAAACCCAATCCAGCCCAATCCCGTGCCCGGCACATGTTGGGGCTTCCTTACTTTTGCTCCACTCGCCCTCGCCCTGCTTCACGCGCCTTCTTCCCTCTGTCCGCTGTCACCCTCGTCCCACCCCCCCCGCATCGTGCCCGTACGAGGCAGAGGGGCGAAAAAGCGCAAGGAATGCCGCGGTGACCTTGTGAGGGCGCTAAAATAAACGAGAGAAAGAGGGCGGAAGTGTGGAAAACAGGCAGAAGAACTCGAAGACGGACGATACAGACAAGACCAACGGGGTGTCAAAAAAGATAAAAAAACAAAGAATAGAGAGAGAGAGACAGAGAGAGTGCGAAGAAGAAGGAGACGAAGAAGAAGAAAATGAAGAGTTGCAATTCATTACCACTCGCCGCTGGCCCCTCGACTCCGGTTCCGATTTCCCAATGTACGATTTCGTCGAAAGGATCCGTGTTTCTCGATGCGCCTCAACCCCCCTTGCCGTGCTCTGCCCCTCTCGCTCCATTTTTCGCTCTCCAGTTGAGACGTCGTGGCCGCTGTGGGAGGCAGACAGGCAGGTGGGTGTGGTGATCCGCGAAAGAGAGAAAGGCAACGCAGAGAGCTCCGAATAGAGGGATATCATCATGTACAACAACGTTGGGAGAGGGAGGAAAGAAAAGAAGAGAAAAAAAAAAGGCTAAATCCTGAGGAAGAACTGGTAGTTTGCAAAAGGGCACAGAGTGGCCGTTGATCGTGAGGATCACGACCCTTTAACTTCCTGAGGCCTTGAAATCCGTTGTGCGCTGCCCTCATTTCTCCGTCTTAGTCGTCATTGAAGAAGGCCTGGATGGCAATTGTGGAACATTATACATGGCGTCATGGACGTCGTGGAGGCCTGTGGCCGACCTACGGCGCCCTTCTACAGCCCGTTCGTCTGCGGGCTGAGTTCCGGTCGCCAGTCGACGCCCTCGTCCGCTGCCCACCGGCGGACCGTCCTGAGACCTAGCGCGATAGCCTCCTCGGCGCTCGTCCAGGGTCCGAGGTTACATCGCATGTGGGGGTCGTCGACGCGCTCGACAGCGTCGTAGGCGCTCTTCCATATGTTGGCGCGCAGACGCTCAAAGTGCATGAGGCGGACGGCGCTGGAGGCTGGGTCGAGCGACCAGTAGCACTTGATGAGCTCCTCGAGGATGACACCCTTGAGCTGGAGGTGGAGTGCGTCGAGGGCGCGGTGGCGACCGTCGCCGACGTCGCGCTGCAGAGTGCCGAGCAGCGGCAGGATCGTGTCCCAGGTATTGGGGTCCTGGGCCTTGTTCTCGAGGCGGCGCGAGTCGAAGACGGCGCGGAAGGAGACCATGTAAGCCATGGCGCTCTCCAGGCACAGGGCGATGCTGAGCTTTTGATCCGACTCGGAGGGGGCGCGGTCGCGGTTCGACTTCATCGCATCGCGTCTGTGCTTGAGCCTGCCGCCGAGGTCCTTGTACCGCTCGTAGCGGTCCCGCAGCTTGCGTATCGTTGCTGGGTTGGCGGGCTCCCTCGGCTCCTGCCTGGTGGGTGGCCGGTCTCCCGGCGTGACGCTGTTCATTTCGCCTGGAGTGTTTCCTTGCGAGTTGTTCGACGCGCCTCGCGACATGGCCGTGGCCGTCTTTGCCGGCGTTGACGGCGTCACCAATCTGGATGAGCTCGCCATGTCTGACGTCCGCGGCCTCTTGACGGCGATCGAGTCTCGAACATCCTCGACGCTGCTAGCCGGTCGTTTCCTAGCGATGATCGGTGCCGCCTCGAGACTCGCCGATCGCGGCCGCTCCTTCTTCGGGGGTGGAAGGGCCAGGATGCGCTTCAGTGTTTTGGAGTGCTTACGGCCGCACTTCAGCGTCACTATGAAGCGCTCCTGTCCATTTCTGTCCCTATCTCTGTCTCTGTTCCTTTCCTTGTCCTTGATGCTGACTCTTATTTGTTCTTCGTCATCGTCGTCTGCTCTCCTAAGCAGCTTGTTGGACTTATTGTTGACGGCTGGATCAGGCAGTCGTGCTGTTTTTGTTGCTGTTGGCGTATCCTTAAAACGAGCCAATTCCTCTTCGAGAGCTGGCGGCAGCGTCGGTGACAGGAGCGCCGGTAGCTTTTGTGGCGATCTTTCCTTCTTGGACAGGACTGGCGGCGGCGGTGCTGTCCTCGTCGGCTTTGGTTGGACTGATCGTGGGGGGTCGTCGATGCCGTCTCGCCTTCTCCTCTCGGTTGGTTGTGAATCTACCTCCTCCATGGGAAAGTGCAGAGGTGACAGTAATGGCGGAACAGTGGACTTGCTTGGTGGCGCATCGCGCTTACTCAATGATGTCCTGTTTATCGCACTTGAACTGGAGCGCTGGCCGTTGAGAGAGTCGCCTCTCGGCCGACCCGAGGGAGTCGAGCTGTGCTGCGAGCCGATTGCTGATTTAAGAATGGCCCTACCATTCGGGAGCGTCGATGGCGTGCCGATTTTCGGGTCCCTCGACGTTGTCCTGTCTTGCGACGACTGTGGCTCCTTCCGCCTTGGGTTGTCGTCTCGTGGCGTTCGCGAGCGATCGTCCAAGGGCGCATTCGCATCGATTGGCGGCTTCTTAGGCAGTCGCGCAAGTGCTTCTGCTTCCTGCTGTCTTCTTCGTTTTTCGGGGGATGTCGTCGTATCGTGGCTTGAATGCCCTCTCGTGTCAAGTTTTTGAGACCTGTCCATCGAGTATACAGTCAGTTCACGATGCGCGTCGGCGGGGAGGGTGAACCTGAAGCGACTTGGTACCAACCTTTCCTCATGGGCCCCGTTCGGCGGCCTCGCTCCTCTGCCATCTCTCGTCGGCTCGCCCGCGCGGGGCGCTCTACTCCCGTCGCTGGGGTCTCTTCGGGCCTCAGGCGCCCTCGCAGCCGAAGCAGAATCGGGTGGGGACGGCGAGACCCTCTTTTGTTTATTCTTGTAGTCGCTCAGTGACAACTTGGTCACCTTCCTGTCTGTCTTGACGACAGGTTCTCGCGCCGCGTGGGCGTTGGACGGCTCCTCGCGCATGTCGTAGTATGGTCGCGTCAGCAGCAGGCCGCGGTCGACGTCGGCCAGCAGCGTCATGTACTGCAGGGCGCGGACCTCCTCTTCTTCGAGGAGCTTCAGCTTATCAGGCGGCACGCGATAGCGCTGGTCGATGGATTTGGCGAGATGATAGGGTCGTTCGGGTAATGCGCTCTTGGCCAAATTATGGACCTTTGTCGCCGCGGCTTCCATGGTTCAGCGGGGTTGGCATTCCTGGGGCATGGGGCGGCAATCGCGCGTCGTTAGGCGACAGTCGGGTTGGACGCGGATGGCAGACAGGGAAATGGCTTGACAGGGAGCGAGTGTGGTGGTGTTGGTGTTGGCGGGCAGCGGTGCTAGACCGATGCGATGCGGGCAAAGACACCCGTGGGTCGATGAATCGTTCGCTGGCTCGCTTGCTCGCTGGTCGACGACTGAAAGAGGAACAAAGGCGGGATGTGTATTTTTTTCTGCCGGACGCCCGCCGTCCCAGGAACAAGGAAAAGAATGGGCGTTGGAGCAGAGCACAGAGCTCTCTCCGTGGCCCACAACAGAGGCCGAGTCGCGAACTCTCGCGCTGACCCTTACAGGCTAGTCGCGGCAAGCAAGTGCCAAGATAAGGTTCCCGCAATGGAGGCAAGACTGTGGTCGAATTCGTTCGAGGGATTGACGCGTGCGCTTGCGCAATCAATGTCGTCTGCAGTGTCGATGGCAGGTCAATCGGTGCTGTGCAGGCTGTCGATTGAGATGCCGGCAATCGTGTCGGAGGTGTCGATGGGGGGGAGGAGAAGGAGATGCAGTGGAGAAAAGATGCGGATGACTGAGGTGCGGTGCGGCACGAAACGGTGTGATACGACAAGCACGCGACCCAGTTCGTCCCCGATAGAGATCGCAAAAGGCTATAATGCTATATGCGCGCGTGCAAGAGGTGACGTGGTCGGCGGGGGGAGGGTGTCGCGCGATCTGTCAATAGCAATTGCTTCCTCAACTCGTGTCGGTGTGCCGGGAGGGATGTCGGGATGCAGCCGATGGCTCTGAGGCACAAATCAGGCTTGCTCGAAAAGCTCGTCGTTGGGGTTCGTGATGCTCTCTCCCAGGTCGTGTTGTCTTACCCAGGTAGGTCGGGTAGGTAAGGCAAGGGGGGGTGGGAAGAGAGAAGCTGACCCGCTTGAACCCCCCGATGTGGAAGCCAAAGAGCCCTTGCAGCAGTGAAGAAGCCGACCCACAGCTTGAACCTCTGCCGCACCGTCGCAGGGAACCGTATGGTAGAGGCGGTGCGATGTGATGCTGCAAGGTGTACCTGGTAGGTAGGTAGGTAGGTACCGTACCAATACGCTGTAAGGCCGTTGGGTTTGGGCGTCTGTCGGTGAGCCTCGTTAGCTGAGGAGAGTAGTCAAGCGCGCTGTTGCTCGCCAATGACCTATCAATCCAGGACCATGACGGTGCTGTCAAGAGACAAAGGCGCTTTGTTCGATAGGTTCCACCTCTTCTCGATACGGCCACTCGTCACACACACGGGATGACAAGACGGGAACGCGGACCGTAGTGATGGTTGGTGCTGGTGATAGGAGGAAGACACTTGACTTGGAGAGAGCCTGGTCGGGCCAGGGCTGGGGCAGGTGTCTACCTACTTAGGTAGGTACCTAGGGAGGTAGGTAGGTACCTACATTTGCCTTCCTGGTCCCTGTCTAATAGCCCGCTCTGGCGTCTGCCAAAACCCCCGCCATCGACGCCTACAGGGCGTATTCGTCACCCGATGGAGGCGCCAAACACTGAAATGCTCCTGACAGGTGCCCTAGATGTGGCAACCTCTCTATGCAGCCACCAAAGTTAAGGTACCTACTCCGGGCTTAGTCGCCTGAAGGCAATCTGACAAGGTACCCTGAGGTTGATACCTTACGTTATGTACGCCATGCTACTGGGTACCGAGGCGTGTAGGCAGGCTTGACGCATTTTGTGGGGTAGCATCAAGCATCAATGACATACATGTACATCCGTAGCAGTCTCCTCTCACAAGCAAGTGTAGTTGCATCTCGTCAGTCAGCGTTCGTCATGTTAGATGCAGAACGGGTCCCTCGTCATAAATCGTTATTGAGTTTCAATCAAGGAAGGAAAACTCCCCAGCTAGTTGGTGCCAACGGACTCGAGCCCTTGGGTCATCTGGAGGTCCAAACCGCTTCTCTGTGGCAGAACATGCAAAAAGTTACACCCTGCTGCCCTCAGGGTTTGACCCAGTCCGACTGTCTCTAGCCCTTGATCC